ACTTCTTTGTATACTGCTTCGCACTAAAAACGTGATACGCATGCCACACAAGCTTTTAATTACTTCCGAGAAAATTAAAACTAATTTTCTCCATGAATTTTTTCTGACCCAGAATCTTCGTAAGTATGCATTTTTGTTCTTACTAATCCCAATAAAAACACTCACCTTTTCTACACGTATTTTTAATTTTGTTTTGGGGTTTCACCAGTCATTCATCTAAAAGAATAAATTAAATTGAAAAGAAATTAAAGTCAAACATTGATTTGACTTTTCTTTTTTTAAACTATGTAGCATAAACTATATCATTGAATTAAAATGAATACAAAGGCAATAAATTAATCAAAATTCTGTAAATCGAATTAATCGGAGTAAATTATTTATAAAATAAATTAATGTTACTAAAATTTCCATGTCTGCTTTTTTTATAAATCAATTTATAAGTTTTCTCAAGTCACTCGCCCACAATTCACCGACTCTTTGCACCAAATTCGAGTTTCTCGCCCGCGTAAAAATCTTTAACAACTGAATATCTAGTTTCACAAAAAAATGATAACAACTCTAACTTGCTTTCACACGTTTTCAAAGTTTACCTTTACCCAGTTGGTAGGAGTAATAAATAAGCTTAAGCAAACCAACACGCAGCCTACTAAAGCTACGAAACCAACTGCATGCATGTATGAGAAAGTCGGATGGTACGCAAATCAAATTAAACCCAGATTAACACTGGATAAGTTATTCTTTTGAAACCCGATTTCAAGTTTTATCAAGACCAAATGAAATACCAAAATATCAAAGAACCACACAAAACACAACAATCTATTTTTGATAACAAAAAACTTGATAAAAAAGATCAGAAAGTTGAACACAAAAAGAGACTCTGCTCAAAGAGACGGTAAAAAAACACACTTCGCTGTCCTCACCCACCAGAACGACGAAGCTCGAAGTACATGTGCTCACCATGTGCTAAGATCTCGACCCTCAATTTTTGAATTGTAGCTCTTGGTTGAGCGACTGTTCGTAATAACCGAAACTAATAAAAAGCTACTGCGAAAACAATTAATAAAAATCATAACTGAAACTGATCTCTTCAACAAGATGCAGGTATAAATTTACAAAGTGAAAAGATTTCTTTGATCAAAAGAAACGAACAGCAAAGGGAAATGAAAACTCGATGACTTTCCGACTCTGGAACGGCAAGTTTAATGGTTTGCTGCCGTAGTCACAACCCTCCCAGGATTTAAAGTCTGCAACCATCATCGCAGCAAAGATACCCATTGAACAAGAACAATGGCCAACTCGATGTTGAACTCACATACGAATCCTAATCAGTCGGCGCTTCACACAGAGAGGTCAAATTCTATCTCGCTATTTGATGAATAGTTGAGAATGCACGTAGTTTCGCTCTACTAAACGAAATCAACTTTTCATTGATCAAACCTGACATCTTGACACGATCACTCAACACGGTCTGGATACTCGAGACCCACTTCTGAAGTACGAACAACTGCACCCCTTCTTTCTCTACGAAGGTACCTACTCCTCAACCCGAGCAACTGTTTCTTTCTCCTCTTTCACGCAACCACTGCTGGCTTCAAAAGATTCTACTCCAAGAATCAAAAAACTTCTCCATCCATCCTTCACAGCAACAAACCTCAACCGAAAAAACTTTTCAAATCTCGGAGGGTGGAACCAGATCAAAACAAGTATTTATTTTAAGCTATTTTATTCTTGGTAAAATATTCTATATAATACTTAGAACTGATCAATCATTGTCCATTAAAAGCACTTACAATAGTTTGTAATGCTGAAACTATTTATTGTTTCAGTCAGAACAGAATAAGTTAAACTTATCAAATAGTTGCTCTTCTCCAGAACAGTTCCTGATGAATAACCTCGCAAATACCAGTATACACTAGATCTATTGAGACTAGCAGAGACTAGTTAAACACCCTGAGACTATAAAGTATAAGAGTAAGATTAAGATCGATATTAGACAAAGAAGTTGCACGAATCTATCCGGCCGAAAATAAGATAGCGTGACGAACAGACGGCATACCTTATCTGAAATTACTCTATCAGTGAGCCACCCCGGACATAAGTTCAGAATTAACAACATCGAAAACTCTCGTGCCATCATAACATCGTATCATATTCAAACATCAAAAAAACTTAATTTTCAACTTTGTTTTTTCTTCTATTTGTTTTTTACTTTTGTTATTAACCTCACACTCTAATTCTCACCTATTGAACCATTTTACCTTTTGCCTACACATTCCTCGCTTGGTTTTTCTGTTGCCGCATAATTCATTACAGATCCTAATTAGCCTATACCTAAGACTGATGAAGCACACTTTTAACTTGACGCCAATTTTTGAAAAAAGGATTGAACAGTTTTTTAGTTGCTGTGGTTTTTTGCAGACTCGTTTGAACTTTTCTTATCAACTGAGAGGTGTTGATGTCTCTCGCTGAATGTGTTTATACAGGCAGGTGTGGTTCCACCCCTACTGCTTATTGTTTATACCATTTGGTGGTAATTTTATCCCCAAGGGCTAATAGTCTTAACTTCATTGCTGATGATTTTATTCCAATCGCTGATATTTTCATCTCAATTGTTGACGGTTTAACCCAACTGCTGGTAGCAAGGGCGGATCTAGGACTTTCTCGAGGGGGGCGGAGCTTGTACCATTTGCTGGTAATTTCATACCAACAATGCAGAAAACAATGCATCTATCAATAATGCCGAAAAATTTTTACGTTTTTGATTGTATCCTCCGAATTGCTGATAATTTTATTCAAAATTTGGGTGTTTTTTTTTCAATCGCTGCTGGTTTTTGCCAAATAACTGATGGTTCACGCCAAATCTTTATGGCTTTTATCTCAGTTGCGGTTGAATTTAGTCCAACTGCCGATAGTTTTAAGCCAATTGCCTTTGTTTCTTCCAAATGCTGATGAGTATATTCCTATTGCTGTTGGTTGATCCCACTTGCTGGTAGTCTTATCCCGAATGCTAACTCTCTTGTTTTAATTTAATATGGTTTCGCCCTAAATGCTGGTAATTTTATCTCAACTGTTGATAGTTCATCCGAAGTTCTAATAAATTGATCCCAATAGCTGAATTTTTTTTCTAATACTGATTGTATCATTTAAATTTTAAGGTTTTTTTATATTTTTGATGTTTTTTTTCTCCAATTGCAGATGATTTTATCAAATTGACTGATGATTAAAGCTAAAGACCGATTGTTTTTCTTTTATCACAGTTGCTGATAGTTTTAGGCCAATTGCCGATAGTTTCATTCCAACTGCGATTGCTTCATCCCAAATGCTGTAAGTTTTTTTCAAATGCTGAGAAATTTATCGCAGAAGCTGACGCTGATGCTGATCTATCGCTTTTCCTAGTAGTTTTACCTTCGTTGCTGATTGTTTTGTTTAAATTGCTGATGATTTGGTCCTTATTGCTAGTGAATAGTTTAAACCAAATACCGATAGTTTTTGTTCACTTGCTGATCATTTTAATCCAATTGCGGATGTTACATCCCAACTGCAATCGGTTTGATCCAAAATATTGGTGGGTTTATACTTTCACCCTAATAGCTGAAAATATTATCCCAATTGCTGATGCTGGATTGTTTTATCCCAAAGGACGAACTTTTGTTATCATTCGCTATTGCCTAATCGTTGCGTTCGTATTTCACTGAAGGAGATGATCTTATCCCAACTGCCCTTGGTTTGATCCTAATTACTGATGGGTTCATCACAATTGCTAATGTTTGTATCCCAATCGCTGATAAGCTTATCGCAGTAGGCGATAGTTTACTCAAAGCGGTATTGGTTTTATTCTTCCTGCTGGTGGCTTCATCGCAATTGGCTATGATTTCATCCCAATTGCTGATGGGTTTATTGTGGTAGGTAGTGGATGTTTCGTCTCAATTAATATTGGTTTTCTCCTAATTGTCTAAAGATTCACCACAGTTGCTAATACTCTTTAACCCAATTGCTGATAAATTTAACTCAATGCTGATAGTCTTAATCCATTGACTGTCAGTTTTGCTCCAATTTTCCATAATTTATTTATAGTTTTGGACAATTTTGCCCCTATTGCTTATGATTTTTATCACAATTAGAAATAATATTCTCTCCATCGCTTATGGGTTATCGCAATAAGTAATGAATTCATCTCAAATGTTGTTGATTTTTCCTAAATAGCTCATCGACTCAACCCAATTTCTAATAGTTGTTTCCCAATTTCTGATAAAATCATCGCGGTAGGTGGTGATTTTATCCCAAATGCTGTTGGTCTTATCCTCATTTCTGATAGTTGTAATCTAATTTCGTATAGTTTTATACCAGTTTTATACCAGTCGCGGATAACAAAAAAAACGCAAGATCTACATTCAAGTTATAGTTCCGCGACAATGTGTATATTCGATAGTGGGTTGATTTCAGTCAGCTTATATTTGGAATGTTTTAACATGTCTGAATCTGTGTTCCAAAAGAGCAAGAATTGAAAAACCATTTTCAAGTCTTTTGTGCAGAATCTGCGACAAACTCAAAAAATTTCGATTCGGCCTTGGGCAGCACGACTCAAAAACAACTTTGGTGCGAGTTAAGAAAAAGCTTTGCCAGCGCCGCTTTGTTTTTGGTCTCGCCCTTTGCGGTTACTATGTTTTCTTTTGCGCCGGTGTCGGATTGGCAAATTTGCGCCATGCCGATTTTTTTAAAGTCGCGCTGGTCTTGAATTGCTAAGATTTGGTAGCCTCGTTCTGAATTTTCTAATACTTAGTTGCACCGATTTAGAATGTCCTATATTGGGTCGCGCCGGTCTTATCTAATATTGTTTAGAAGCCAGCCTGTGTTGACCTAATCAAATTCGTTGATTTGTAAATACATTTGAAAGAGCATGTGTTCTTCAGCCTCCATTCCAATTTTCATGTTTGTCAAAAAACATTTTTAAGTCGGGGAACTCAAAAACTAATTCAATTCGAGTGACATTTCTGTTGCAGAAGTTCCGAGCGTACACCTCTTATGTGGCCAATAAGGATGTGTTCTACGAAATTTTCACAGTACAGGAAACAATGATGTTTGCGGCTGGCCTCTGCATCCCGAGAAACATGCCGAAGGCCACTTCTTTTCCAGTGACCCATCGCTACCCAAACTGGTTTCTAGCGTCAAAATCAGCATTTTAAGATAAATTAACTTAGAGTCGTTCATTTAATAAGATATTGTCAACAATTTCGAATTTGATACACGCCAAAAATCATTTGAAATAATATAAAAAACATGTTTTGCTAGGAAAAAGACCGAGACTAGCATTTCTTACAATCAAAAAACTCAAAAGGAGTTCTATCCAAGTTCTGGTTATCAGGGGTATCATGTCTACCCAACTTGATGAAGTTAGAGCGTGGAGTGTGGGTTATTGAAAAAAAGCGGATAGTTTGACAAGTATCAACAAGTCGCAAGAGTTCTGACCAGAGTTGGACTGGAATCATGTAAAGATACGAGAATAGGCGGAGAATTATTCCGCGGTCTCTCCACTGGTCAGAAGACACGACTTAGTATTGCGTTGGAACTACTAAGGGAGCCCTGGATCTTGTTTCTGGACGAGCCTCTGTCTGGATTGGACGGATCAGCTGCTGCAAATATTATGAGCATTTTGACAGATCTTGCAAATGCAGGTAGCCCGTACTAAAATTTGTAGTTACGTTTAAACCTAGACATTCAAGTCCTGTGGAATGACTCTTTTTTCCCTGTACATGTCTGAACTAGGAAAAAAAGGATAACTATGGAAAAAAGTCAGATCTTGAGTCAGATATGATCAGATCTGAAATACACCTAGGACAGGCCTGATCATACCTGGGCCAGACTTGCTCATGTCTGCAATTACCTGAAGTAGACATGATCATACCTGACTTTACATGATCATACCTGGACCAGACATGATCTTACCTAACTTTACATGATCATACCTGGACCAGACATTATCATGCCTGAAATTGCATGATCAAACCTTGAGCAGATATGATCATACCTGATCATACTTCATGATCATAATTCGACCAGGCAGGATCAGACCTGATAGTACAAGTTCTTACCAAAACGAGATCTGATTATACCTGACCAATATAATCAAAAGTGTTTTTTAAAAACTCCGTAGGCCAAACTCAATTTATCAACTGATCAATTATAGACGGTTGACAATCAAAATCGGAAACAAACTGAAACAAGTTTATCAGAATTAATTGTTTGCTTTAAGCTTCATCAATCTTCTCTTGGTTTTTTCCGTTGAAACTAGTAGCCATTGAAAGTTCTGCCATTGGCAGCAAAAACTCGACAAAATTGATGATATAAATCATTTAATGGGATTGTTTTTTTTGCATATTGCCGCGGTTCAATGAATTTTCACTGCAATTTGTGAAACTACCCCACACCCACTAATCTAATCCCCTCACCGCCTGCTCTAACTGACGAGGTTTTCTTTGCGATGATGAAGCTCCAATAAAACCGTTCTCATAATTGCATAAAAGAGAGGATAAAAGTTGTTTAGATAAACTCATAATGGAAAGTTTCTGAAAAGAAGCAAAACTAGAACTCAGAGTAAAATAATCGGAACAAAATCTGGAATATCTGAAATAACAGTCAGCTCTTGAAGATATTCATTTCATATTATTTGGGTTTGGTTGGTTGCAGGTTATCAGCATGTGCATCAATCATAAAAAAGAATTTTCGTAATCACTGTAATTCAATTCCAGACAACTGGGGGAATCGATTTAGGTAGCTTTTAAAAATTTCCTAAAATCTTCATTGTTGTAAAAGAGCATGCCGGCAACCTGCAATCAATCAATCCCAGGTTGCCTGATGTATATCAAAAGAAAAAAATACGGCGCTGTTAACAGCTAACAATTCAAGAGTCATATTTATCGAAAAACAAGACAGTTGACGAAAACTTCAATTTCTGTTGAAAAAATAATATAAGAAAAACCATTTTTTTTGTTTTTCAGAACAGAAAATGGTTTACTTCTAATAAAACATATATATATATATATATATATATATATATATATATATCCTTTATGTACAGAAAACACGTCATGTCTGACCAGATAAAGTCATGTCTGACCAATTATAGTCATGTCTGACTCAGGTATTGTCATGTCTGATCAGATATAGTCATCTCTGACCAGATATAATTCTGTTATGACCAGGTATAGTCAGGTCTGACTCAGGTATAGTCTGCAAACGGCAGAAGTGATCACCTGTGAAACAGATATGTACAAAGCTGGAAAAAGCGAGTGTTTGACAATTGTATGATCAGACTTGAAATTGTGAGAAAAGTTCTGTACGAGTCAACTTTTGTGCAAAGTTTTTTGCATCTTAGATGTTTTTTGTATATTGAATTTCCAAAAATTAATTGTTGCTCTTGTCCAATAGCGTGTTAAGGCGGTTTTGTATGCCATTTTTTTGAAAAGGGTCTCCATCCATTTTTGGGTACTATTTCCTTATATCCAATAATTGCCAAGTAAACTCAAAATTTTTCTCAATGGTTTGGCGCATTAACAAATTAGTTTGGCTGATCGAACTCGAACAAAAATGCAATTGTTAGCGTGAGGCGACAACTCATAAAAGGCGACAATTCGTAGCGAGCGACAATTCGTAACAGTAAATTAAGTTGCGAACACTGATTTATCCGCAGTGTTCCTCTCGTGTCAGATGCATGCACAGCGGAGCGAATTATACTTGCCAATGACTTGTTACGAGTTTTCACTGGTTACGAATTTTCGCGTGTTACGATTTGTCGCCTGTTACAAATTGTCTCCCTGCCAAATTTTAGGTCAAGTAGCATGTTTGGGGGCAGAGGATTTGGGGAGTTCTAAGAGGATTTCTTGTCCATCTATAGGGTTTTAACTATGGAATTATTCAACGACATCCATTCCAGCCAAGTGACTCTGAAACTAAATAGATATTTGACGCCATCCTATAAAAATTTTAGAGGAAGCGTATGCAGAAAAATGCAATATTTTGGCCAGCAGTTTCTCATAATTGCATATAAACGGCACTGTTAACCAGATTCTCTAAAAATTGGTCAGCTGCAATAAAAGTTTATTTTACTTTTTTTTGAAAACATGGCACTGAAAAAAATGATGAATTCGCGCCTACTTAGGCAAGAAAGTTTGGTCACTTCTTAGCTAAATAATGGCTTCTAAACCCTTCTTTTAAGTCAGAGCTAAAACATTCTAGTCAAAACTCTGACCAATGCTCAAAAAAGCTTGCTGGTGGCGAAGAAATTAGTAACGAAAAAAATCCTTCGTAAAGTTTTGGGAGAGTTCTGAAAAAAATTCCAGCGAATAATAAACAAATCCACAAAAAACTTAAAAACAAGTTACAAGCATTTGAAAAAAAACTATTCTCTTTTTGTATTCTCTAAGAAAACTCCCACGCTCGCCACAATTTATGTTCGAAAACAGTATCAAGGTTGACATGTTTTGTCGGACTTTTTAAAATTTTCTTTTTTCATCATATGAATTGCTTTTAAAAAATGAAATGATTTCAAAGGACAATAAGACTGCTCAGATCAAAGCAAAGCATTGAATTTTTTTGACTACATTTTTTTCTATGGAGTATTTTAATTTAAATTAATTCATGAAATTTAAAAAATGAAAAATCCTTTCCCCCTCACGATATATAAGGTAAAAATTCATGAATTTTGTATATATCAAAACATAAAACATACCAAGGAGGATGCCTCAATCCAATTTGGAACGATTCTTAAGACGGATGAAATTTACCGCTAACGCGTTAATAGCACAAATTATCCCAAATTGGCCAAACAGGCAGTTTTCAACTAGAGTGGCAGTTTCACTCCATTAAAGGTAGTGAGTGTTCTTCGAAACATATAATAGCAAAAAAAAACAAGCAGAATGGAAAGGGAAAAGATCGATTATTTTTTGGGAATTTTTTTTTTGAAAAAGTATAAATTTTGGACAACATCAGATGCATGCACAGCGGAGCGAATTATACTTGCCAATGACTTGTTACGAGTTTTCACTGGTTACGAATTGTCGCGTGTTACGATTTGTCGCCTGTTACAAATTGTCTCCCTGCCAAATTTTAGGTCAAGTAGCATGTTTGGGGGCAGAGGATTTGGGGAGTTCTAAGAGGATTTCTTGTCCATCTATAGGGTTTTAACTATGGAATTATTCAACGACATCCATTCCAGCCAAGTGACTCTGAAACTAAATAGATATTTGACGCCATCCTATAAAAATTTTAGAGGGAGCGTATGCAGAAAAATGCAATATTTTGGCCAGCAGTTTCTCATAATTGCATATAAACGGCACTGTTAACCAGATTCTCTAAAAATTGGTCAGCTGCAATAAAAGTTTATTTTACTTTTTTTTTGAAAACATGCCACTGAAAAAATGATCAATTCGCGCCTACTTAGGCAAGAAAGTTTGGTCACTTCTTAGCTAAATAATGGCTTCTAAACCCTTCTTTTAAGTCAGAGCTAAAACATTCTAGTCAAAACTCTGACCAATGCTCAAAAAAGCTTGCTGGTGGCGAAGAAATTAGTAACGAAAAAAATTCTTCGTAAAGTTTTGGGAGAGCTCTGAAAAAAATTCCAGCGAATAATAAACAAATCCACAAAAAACTTAAAAACAAGTTACAAGCATTTGAAAAAAAACTATTCTCTTTTTGTATTCTCTAAGAAAACTCCCACGCTCGCCACAATTTATGTTCGAAAACAGTATCAAGGTTGACATGTTTTGTCGGACTTTTTAAAATTTTCTTTTTTCATCATATGAATTGCTTTTAAAAATGAAATGATTTCAAAGGATAATAAGACTGCTCAGATCAAAGCAAAGCATTGAATTTTTTTGACTACATTTTTTTCTATGGAGTATTTTAATTTAAATTAATTCATGAAATTTAAAAAATAAAAAATCTTTTCCCCCTCACGATATATAAGGTAAAAATTCATGAATTTTGTATATATCAAAACATAAAACATACCAAGGAGGATGCCTCAATCCAATTTGGAACGATTCTTAAGACGGATGAAATTTACCGCTAACGCGTTAATAGCACAAATTATCCCAAATCGGCCAAACAGGCAGTTTTCAACTAGAGTGGCAGTTTCACTCCATTAAAGGTAGTGAGTGTTCTTCGAAACATATAATAGCAAAAAAAAAAAACAAGCAGAATGGAAAGGGAAAAAATCGATTATTTTTTGGGAATTTTTTTTGAAATAGTATAAATTTTGGACAACATCAGATGCATGCACAGCGGAGCGAATTATACTTGCCAATGATTTGTTACGAGTTTTCACTGGTTACGAATTGTCGCGTGTTACGATTTGTCGCCTGTTACAAATTGTCTCCCTGCCAAATTTTAGGTCAAGTAGCATGTTTGGGGGCAGAGGATTTGGGGAGTTCTAAGAGGATTTCTTGTCCATCTATAGGGTTTTAACTATGGAATTATTCAACGACATCCATTCCAGCCAAGTGACTCTGAAACTAAATAAATATTTGACGCCATCCTTTAAAAATTTTAGAGAGAGCGTATGCAGAAAAATGCAATATTTTGGCCAGCAGTTTCTCATAATTGCATATAAACGGCACTGTTAACCAGATTCTCTAAAAATTGGTCAGCTGCAATAAAAGTTTATTTTACTTTTTTT